ACCATAAAAAACTTCTTTCTTGGGCCAGGAATTTAGCTTAGTTGTTCCACCACCTGCCTCGCAAGCCCAGGGACCTGAGTTCAATCCCTGGTACCCCCGCAAAAAAACTTTCTTTTTCCTATTTCCTGTAACTCAGTTTCTAACACAGTGTTTCTCAAGCTGTGGACCACAATCCATTTGTCAATCATGAACCTATTTGACAGCTTTTTTTTTTTTTGAAAGGAAATAGATTGAAATAGATAACATTAGAATATACCACTTAATAAGGCAAAGTTTTAGGTTATGAATTTATTTCAGTTGTTGTATAGCTTAAATATAAATGTTCATATGAATATAATGTAAAATGTTTTATTGTGACTGAGTGTGGTGGCACATACCTAAAATGTCATTACTGGGAGGATGAGGCAGGAGGATCACCACAAGTTCGAGGCCATTTTGGGCTACACACTGAGCTCAAGGCCAACCTGGACTATATAGGGAGACCCTGTCTCTAAAAAAAGAAGAAATATATGTTATTGTGAATTACTAACTTTTAAAAATTTAAAAGCTACTCTTCCAGAGTTATTCATCTGTTTGTGTCTTGAACCTGATGTTCTTTAAACATAAATGTTGGATTATTGCTATATAAATATTTGGATAAGATTTTATTTGTTTTGTTTTATTGTTTTTATTTTTGTTTTAATTTTTGGTACTGGGGATCAAACTCGGGACCTTGTGCTTGTGAGTCAGGCAGCAGCATCACTGAGCTAAATCCCTGGGCCCTTGATAAGATTTTTTAAAACTAGAATTTTGTGTATATCTGATATCTTGGTTCAAACCTGCATGGCAAAAATATTCATCAGAGAAAAACCCATAGTGTTCACAAGTTTTATAACATTGCTTTAAAATTTTTTAAATTTTACTTTTTAAAAAATTATTTTTTAAAAATTGAGGCCAGGAATTTAGCTCAGTGGTACCATGCCTGCCTCATAAACACAAAAGTCCTGAGTTTGATTCCCCAGTCCTGGAAATAAATAAATAATTTTTTAACTCAAAGAACACTACTATCTTCCCCTAAAAGGGTCCACACTGATTCAAACTGCTAGTTTTACTGGTTTATATTGCCTAGATGTATATTAAAAATAGCCAGTTTAAAGAGAAGGTACACTGGAATGGAAATGTTTCGGATACCACTTGGCAACAGAAATATATATACCTAAGATGAGTTGTTTAAGGTTAAGAGGGATGAATCTACCACTAAATGTCATTCCTTGGGAGGCTCTGTAGTGGACTATAGGGAAGACATGCATGACTTCTTCCACCTATTAAGTAGTGGAAATGGCATTTAAAAAGAAACCTACTAGCTACCAGTCTGGGTTATTTAAGATCAAGAGCTGTAGAGTTCAACAGGTCTACTTTTAAGTCCTGTCATTTGCTAGCTGTTTTGACCAGAGACAGGTTACTTCTCAGTGGCTTTATCTCCTCCTCTGTAACACAGAGATAAAACCTATACACAGGATTGTGAGTGGCAAATGTACTTACCTGGATGTACGCCTCAACCCAGTGGCTAGCAGAGAAGAGCTCAGTAATCAACAATTTGTAAATGCTGTGATGATCTACCATTAAAATAATAACTAACTGGGCCAGGGATTTAGCTCAGTGATTCCACTGCCTGGCTCTCAAGTGCAAGGTCCCAAGTTTGATTGCTGGTACAAAACAAAACAAAACAAAAAAAACTATTATAGGAAATCTCTAGCAATTATGGATACTAATCTAAATCAAACCACATTACGGAACTAAGAGGATACCAATAAGATAATAGGATAAAAGAACTGGGACAATTTGCAGGGACCCTTGAAACAATCTGTACATAATAATCATGAGACTTTTACAATGTAATTGTGTCTTCCTCTGTTTAGCTCACTAGACTGCAAGCCTCAGGAAGAATTATGTCTTGGTTGCCATTGCAGGACCTTGGCATGTAGGAGTTACTCAAATGCTTGTTGAATGAATGATCTGTGGCTCTATGCGTTTTTATTCAGATCCATTGTAATTGTATTGACTGAACTACTTTAAAATGCTTTGTGGTACAGAAAATATCTACAGAAAGCTACAATATAAGCTTTAGCCTGTTGCAGGGCTTGTCAGAGGGGAGGGGGGAATCTAGTAGTTTTAATCTAGTAATTTTGCTTTTTCTATTCTTATAGGATATTTTGTTAAGCTATTTTTACATAATTGTAGATGCATATGCAATTGTAAAAAATTAACACAGAGAGAACCTGTGTATCTTTTATCCAGTTTCCCCCATTAGTAATATCTTGTGAAACTGATATAATATCACCATCAGAGAATTGATATTGATAGGCTCAGTATTGATATTGATCTTACTCAGATTTCCCTAGTTTTGCTTCTGTTCATTTATATATGTGTATTTATTCCTATGTAATTTTATTCCGTGTGTGTGTTCATGTATTCACCACTGCAGTCATGATACAAAATAGTCACTTTATGGGCTGGGGATTTAGCTCAGTGGTCCTGTGCCTGCCTGGCAAGCATAGGTCCTGAGTTCCATCCCCAGTAGCCGCCCCCCGCAAAAGTCTGTTTACCACAAGGATCTCTCCTGTTGCCCTTTTATAACCCCTCAATCCTGAGCATATCATCAAGCTCATCCTTCTGTATCCCTTAGCAATCACTAATCTGTTCTCCACTTCTGCAGTGCTATCATTTCAAGAACATTATATAAATGGAATAGTTCCTTATATAATCTTTAGTGTGTAGATTTTTCACCCAGCATAATTCACTGGACATTTATTCAGGCTATTGTTTTATCTATAATTCATTCCTGTTTATTGACAGGTAATACTCCATAGTTGGATACTCATTCCACTCGCCTATTGAAAGTATTGATTGTTTACAGTCTTTTAACTGCTACAAATAAAGCTGCTGTAAAGATCTATATGCAGATTTTTGTATAAATACAAATTTTCCTTTCTCAGGGTTAAATGACCAAGAGTATATTTTCTGGGCCATGTAGTACTTACATGTTTCGTTTAGTTTAGTTTTGTTTTGCTTTTTAATGCCAAGTCATTTACCACAGTACCTATAACATTTACGTTCTCCTAGCAATGTCTCAAGGATCAGTTTCTCTACATTCTTCTAGGATGTAGTGCCATTTACTTTTAATTTTAACCATCCTGATACTTGTGCAGTCAATTTGGGTTTAATTAATATAACTAATAATGTTAAACATATTTTTGTGCCCATTTGTAATGTACATATCCTCTCTGGTGAAATATCTGTATCTTCTGAAGATTTCTAATTGAATTGTTCAGGTTTTCTTTTTTTAACCTTGATTTTTGAGAGTCCATTATGTGTCCTGTATACTAGTTCTTCATTGGATATGTAGTTTGAAAATAATTTTCCCTCAGTCTGTCCCTTGTCTTTTCATTCTCTTAATAGCATTTATGACAGACATTTTAAATTTCGGTATGGTCCAATTCATAAGTTTTTATTTCATGGATTATGGTTTTAGTGTTTAGGAACTGTTTGTGTTGCTCTAAATCCCAAAGGTTATCTCTTTTTTCTAAAGTTTTACAGTTTTGTTTAAATTTATGATCTATTTTGAGTTGTTAAAATTTAACTTGACTACTTTAAATACACAGTTCCAGGGACATTAAGTATTCTACATTCTTAATATTTTACAGCTATTGCCCCTGTCTATATCTAGAACTTCATCCACTCTAGACAGAAATTCTGTACCCTCTAAGCCATCACTTCCTGCTCTCCCCACCCCCATGACTAGTACAAAAATGACAGTAAACACTTAATCAACTTTTATTGCAAGTTTATATTGCCATGCTCTCTAAGTGTATTATTTGTATTTTATAAAAACATTGGTCCACAATGGATTGGAAAAGTCCTTTGGAGCTATTTGAGAAGCACTTAATCAGATGACTTAATTAACTTCTAGCACATTGATCATAATTTGGGGTGGAAAAAATTAAATGACTGTCTTGTTATCTCACTATATATAGTTAGGTGCTCAGCTGTAGCGAACCCAAATTATCTCCCTGTTATAAAAATCAAAGATTATCATCAGTATCAATAGTAGTCATAGTAAGTGAATTATGGCTTTTCAGGTGGCTTCTGAATAGTTTTTTATTTTTTCCTCACCTGAAGTGTATCTGCTAGAGTTAGTCTGGCAGCAACCTCAGCAGATCTGACATTGTCCGTGGGAATTTGTTGAATTATTTCAAAAACTTGAAGTTATTTCTTTTATATGTTAGCTAATTACATTCCCTATAAAATATAGTGGTCATTAAAAATGACCAAAGTTTTGGTCTAAAAGCATGAGTAAAAAGCCTTAAAGACCCACTAACAGTGCTTATTAATTATGAAGATTTTTCTATCAGTATGTGTCATTTTACTTTTGGGTATTTTGATTGCTGTTCCCTTCAAAAATTTCATTTGGTAGTGATTGAACCTTAAGTTTTCTTTAGCTCTTAAAATTATCAATTTGGAATTTCGTGTTATAACCTAAGGTATCTTTTTATTTTAGCCTAAGGTATTTTTTGATGAATAAAATTTGTCTTAATTTTTTTGTTACTTCTTTGCCCCTGGGATGCTGGGGATCAAACCCAGGACCTGGTACATGCTCAGCAAGTGCTACTGAGCTCCAGCCCCCCCACACACACCCCTGCCCATTGGCCCCCCCTTTTTTTCTCCGTACTGGGGATCAAACTCAGGCACACACACACACACACACACACACACACATGCACGCATGTGCGCGTGCACACACACACCTGCCCATAGCCTCCCCCTTTTTTTTCCCCGTACTGGGGATCAAACTCAGGACCTTACGCTTGCAAGGCAGGTAGCAGCCTAAGCTAAATCCCCAGCATCCTTTTTAAAGACAGTCTCAAGTGTTACATTGGCCGCAAAATTAAGCTGATTCACGCATACAAACTTTAAAAGAATTTAGCATGAATGTCCTCTTTTCTTTATGTTTTATTATGTAGAGAACAAGGAGAGTACACAGACTTGAAACATGAGTTCGGATACCAGCCACGAAGTGATCACTACTCCTCTTCCTCCGAGTATGCCTCACAAAGAGAGATACTTTGATCGAATTAATGAAAATGATCCAGAATACATTCGGGAGAGAAACATGTCTCCTGATCTACGACAAGACTTCAACATGATGGAGCAGAGAAAGCGAGTTACTCAGATTCTACAGAGTCCTGTGAGTTGAAATAATTATAACTAAAGTTTTCTTCCCCTATGGAAACTTTGACATAATGAGGTAGGAGGTATCTTAAACTACCCTCAGCTTAAAAGAGATATGGAGAAGTAGTAACCAGTTGCTTAAAGAAGAAATGGACACCTAATGTATATATTCAGTTTGCAGAGCTTTATTAACAGACTAGTATTGTGATAGAATACATTTTCTTTGTGTATTTTCTGGACATAATGTTTCACTAATGGAAAATAGACAATTTTACTCCACTATAGGGTACCCAATTCAGACTAAACATCTGTGAAGAAGACAAAAATGACTCAGATATAGGAACTAAAAATTAAGTTTGTTATATCCCATGTACATGTTTACTTTTTCTTTTGGCTACCTTCATGCTCAGAGAAACACAAAGTTTTTGAGAAGGTCTGTGATTTGGCAGCCTTATGTTAATGTACCTAATACAGGCATACATATGTGTACATACCCCAAATTAACTAGATTAAAAGTGAATTATAACTTCAATTTAAGCTGAAAATTCTATCTGCACAGCAGTATGTAGACTTTTAAATCATATTCAAGTGTTTTTTTGTTGGTTTTCTTACAAACCTTTATGGAATTGCACAAGTCATATATAAGTTATGGAAAATGACAGAACAGCTTTATATAAGAATCAAAATGAATTTATAGCTTTATGCATAATGCAGATTATGGGACCCCCCCCTTAATATAGAATTTGGCACACACAGACACAATGTCCAGGTTAGGATTACATTAGGTTTCCAACTTAGGTGCTTTATTAAGCACAGGGGCATAGAGCCCTGGTAAATCGTTTTTGTTATGCCCTTGTGAATTTAATCATGAGTTGAGTCCAAAGCCAAAAGAAAATTCCACTGAGTAGTTCTCCGGTATGAGTGACCTTGATTGAAAGCACTGAAGTACAAGCTATAAAAGCAATGCAAGCTTTGAGCAATTTAAAAAGTACAGCGCCAAGTTCTTTAAAAACCCTTTCCAAATTGAGTGGAGATTAACCAGAGAAGTCATGATGAGGGATTATACATTACACAAACCTGAGTTTCTGTGTTTACAAATACTTAAATGGCACATTAATTACATAGATAGGAGTTGACTTATTTCCTGACTGACACCACTTTCAAGAACTAATTTATTAACCAAATGATTATTGAAACAGTGTAATCAAAAGAAATGAAGTTCACATTTTGTTAAAAGATTGTTAAACACTGCCTCAAAAGGATCATTCATTTCAAACTATAATATTTAAATGAAAAAAGTTTTGTTTTTTTTTTGTGGGGGGGGGTTGCGGTACCAGGGATTGAACTCAGGACCTTGCACTTGCAAGGCAGGTGTGACACTACTGATCTAAATCCCCAGCCTGAAAAAAGTATTAAACTATATTTCCATGCCAGAGTTTTTGTTTTATAGTTTACCCATTAAAGTAAAGACAGAATAATTTTTGTACAACTGAGGATTGAACCCAGGGCCTCTTGCATGCTAGGGCAAGCACTCGTACCCCTAATCTGCATCTAATTTAAGGCTACCACTGCTAATAGCCTAAGCAGTATCACTTTGAGTAGAATATTTAATTTTTTATACTCATGTGTTTCCACTTGTAAACTTGACTTAGAAGTATCAATTTTACTTATGCCTTGGAGAAATTAAATACTGGGAAAGTGCAGGCATATAGATGGTCATTTCCCTTCCTGATTCACTTAACAAAAATGATCACAGAGAAATGGAAAGGCTGAAATTTAAAACAGTTGTGGGTTATTTTTCCCTAGATGTTTGACTAGTGAATTTAAAATTTTGTTTGTGAAAGACTTGGAAGTATACCAGTCTTATCTTTCTGCCATAGTTTAAGGCAGTGGTCAACCTTTAAATTTCTTTAAAGACAGAAACGTTTCACCAAAGGAAATGATACAGGATGGCCTGTTAGTAATCTATTGCTAAGTAAAAGATTACATCTAAAATTTAGCATCTTAAAATGACAGGCATTTTTTCTCTCACCATTTCTTTGAGTCCAGAGTTTAGGAGCAGCTTCGCTAAGTGTTTTTGGCTCAAGTTCTCTCTTGGCTTCAAAGACAACACCCAAGGCCACTGTCCACTGAAAGCTTGACAGGGTGGGGAGCCACTGTTAAGATGGATCACTTACAGCTGCTGGCAGAAGGCCATAGCTCTTGTCACATAGACTTTTCTTTACTTTTTTTCTCCCTCCATACTGGGGATCAAATTCAGAATCTTGTGCTTACGAGACAGGCATGATGCCGCTGAGCTAAATCCCCAGCCCAACACATAGACTTTTCTTAAAGTTTGCTCCACCAGAGAAAGCAGCCTACAATGTTTTCATGACCTACTCCCCGGCATTGCATGCCTTCACTTCCACCATATTTATTAGTTATCAGTGTGCACTAAGTTCAATCCATACTCAAAGGAAGAGGAAGTAAATTCACCTTTTGAGGGGAGAATTATCTACTCTGTGGTCAAAATTTATTTTAAAAACACCACAGTCTGCTTTCAGACATGCAAAATATTGACCTCTCCTGACATCCCCTTCAGCTTGACTCTAGAATCTCATCACCTCAGTTTGGTCTAAGTGCAGGTGTTCCACCTCAGGAAATAGTTCCTTAAATACAGCTCGTATATGGTTCCTCTCATTCTATTGACTATAAAGAGACAAGTTATCTGCCCCTACCCCTCTTCTGCTGGCAGAACAAGCATAAGATAACTGCTTACATGTCTTCCTCTTCAAACCTTTGAGAGTTTGGGGACCAGACAGTCACTGGTTCAAAGCAATTATGAAATTTATTTAGGCAAATGTTTCAAAGTCCTTGATGAATACCCAGTCCTGCTGCTTACCAGGCATGCATCTTCATGGCTGTTGGCTCTGCCCTCTAGGTTCTTGGTTGCACTGTCTGAATTTTCCTTCCATGAAAGATAGTCTGCTTACAACTCTGGTTTTCTTAGCCTCCTTCCTTCTTACAGAAGTTTTGAGAGTCCAGAGGCCTTTTTTGTATTACTTTCAGCCCATGCTTGCATTGTTTCTACCAATAAAACTACCTTAAAAATTGTATGGGCCTCCTGTAAATATTGTAAATATTCATTTTTTTAGACAAATCTATAACCAATAAAGGTAAAATCAAAGCTAATATTTGTATTTCAAGTAAATTTATATGATATGAAGCAAATTTATAAGCATACTTTTTAAAAACTCTTACATTATGCCAGGTACCTATTTATGTATATAAGGTAAAATATAATCCTCAAAGCAACTCAGTAAAAGAAGTATCAATATCTCTACTTTACAGGTGAGTAATTTAAAATTTAGAGACATTAAATAATTTGCTGAATGTTTTACAGCTTAGTTAAATGGTTGCAACAATGAAAAAAATCTACACCTACATAGTTTGTTTTATTCATCTTCATTTCTTTGCTTAAGTTAATTCAGCGCAATCCAAAAAGAATGTCTAATCATAAGACATTTTGGCTCAAATGTAAATTTATAAATTTGTATAACAAAAATTGCATCTTATGCTTTGATATGAAAAAAATAGAAGAACAGATAATTTGTCTTGCTGTAACCTGGAAGAAGTATTACTTCTTTCTAGGAATCTCACAGCTTTGGGTCATATTTTAAATTTTTTAAAGAAAATATTTGTCTTATACCTGGTGTGGTAGTTCATTTCTGTAATCCCAGCATTCTGAGAGTCTGTGAGACAAAAGAATAGCAAATTTAAGCCCAACCTTGGCAATTTAGCAATTCAGCAAAACCCTGTCTCAAATTAAAAGCGTAAAAATAAAAAGCACTAGAGATGTACCTAGCTCAGTGGGAAGACCTGGGTGTGCCATCCCCAGTACCACAAAAGGAAAAAAAGATATTTATCTTAGAAATAATTGCTGAGCTTCCTGGCATGTAACTGTGATCTCAGCTATTCTGGAGGCCGTGGTAGAATTGCAGATTAAAGGACAGCCTGGCAGTTTGGTGAGACCCTGTCGTAAAACAAAAAGAGAGAAGAAAGGAAGGAGGGAGGGAGGGAGGGTGAGAGCAAGCAGGCAAGCAAGCAGGGCGTGGTGGTTCGGGAATCCCAGCACTCAGGAGGCTGAGGCAAGAGGATCACTGTGTTAGACCAGCCTGGGCTACAGAGTGAGTTCCAGGTCAATCTCAACTATATAGTAAGACCCTATCTCAAAAAATAAACAAGCAAACCAATAAATAAATAAATAGAGCTTGGCTGTGGCTCAGTCAGAGAGCTCTTTGCCAGCACATGCCAGGCCCTGGGTTCAGTTCTTGACACTGAAGGAAAAAAAAAATCAAATGCTGGTGGGTAAACTAGTTCAGCTTGACATTTTGTTCATGCATCAGAGATGATTCACAAGTTCTCTTTGACTGTTGTACTCTGTATATATGTACTGTCTGGAGATCTTAGAGTGTAATTTACCTCTTTTCTCAGAGTAAAGTACCTAGGACAAACTGTTGAAATTGTGATGCTTCATCAAAGTTAAAGAAGCACACATAACACAATAGATACTGTATATCCCCCAAAATAAGACTGGGTCTTATATTAATTTTTGCTTCAAAGGACAGGATGTATTTTCAGGAGATGTCTTATTTTTTCATGTTCAACAATCTACATTTATTCAAATACAGTCATGTCATCTTCTGAAACATCTTCATAACTCTCCAAACCCCAGATTCTAGCCTGAATTTCTTGCAACTCCAATTCCTATAGAACTTTTGGCCCTAGTCTCCCATATGCAACAAATGGAGCTCGCCTTACATGAGCACTTCTTGTCCACGTAGCCTGCTCATAGTGTGACAGCAACACAGCTGTCAGTGATTTTATCCCAGGAATTCTCATCCAAGTCACGACTTCTTGCAGGCTGGCTTCACAGAGTTTCATTAAATCACATGTTAATTGAAGACTTATGAGACAGAAGTAGCAAAAAAAAAATGATGACAATTAAGAGTGATGGTCCACACAAAAGCAACAAAAAATTGCGGGCACTAAAATTCAGAAAACATTTCTTTATTTCACATGAGTACATGAAGTACACCTGTTCAAACATGAGACATTGAATTACGATGATTTGTGTTAGACAAAACCACATCCCTTCATTCTCATGTTGTGTGTACCCCAGTTGGTCATTGGCTGTCAGCCTTGAGTTCATCTGTTTACACAGACACTGACCTCTCGTCCAAAGGTGCCAACTTGAGTATATACAAATAATTAGAATTGTATTATCATTTAAGTATTAATGTCAATAATATATTTACTTATATATTAATATCATTATTTTATAATTCAGTATGTCTATCATGAATTGCAACAGACATAATAAATGTGTCCATCTGGCTAATCTCTTAACAGGCTTATTTTGGGGTAGAGCTTATATGATGAGCATCCTAAAAAAATGATGCCAGGGCTCATTTTCCAGTTAGATCTTATTTTGGGGGAAATATGATATGTAGTAATTCCAAAGACTTATTAACATTGGTTTTTTAATAGGAATATGATTAACTACTTGTCATAAAGATATTGGATATTTATTTTAATATTCGAATGAAAGCTTAGTAGGTTTACCAACAAATTTTTTTTATATCAGCTGAAAGTTTTATATCAGTAAGTTTTTACACTTAATGTTCTATGACTTAGGAAATTATCTGAATAATATTTCAGAATCATTTGAAACCAAAAAGTAAGTTGTAGATGCTCATAATAAATAAATATTTTGCACTAGAATAATTTTTACCTGTTGAAGTACTGTCAACTATATTGAAAAGACTGAGAAAATTCATTTACTTTGAAATTGTTTTCTTTATCTATGCTTACCCCTACAGGGACCACTGACAGTTTATTTCCATCCCTTGTGGCAGAACAGATCCCAAATGGGGATCACCTTCCAGGTAGTTTTTATCATATTGTGTGATACAGAGAAATGAAGACATTTTTACTTAACAAAAACACTTCACATGTGTTCTGTGACATTTACTAGCTCGGTGGCCTTGAACAGGTTTTTAGCCTGTCTTTGTTTTGTTATCCCACCCAGCAGAAATTCTCTTAACAAGTAATTTGATTCTCTTGAGCCACTGGTTGCTTTTTGATGAAGCCACGTAAATCAGCACACTGAGCAGATTAGCTTGATTCATGTTGACTCCCTGAGAGTTTATATAAACTTTGGTCCAGCTCCAGGAAATGTGTACGATTTTATAGCATCCACTTAATGTCTTCCATTCTTGGCTCTGTCCAACCTCTTTAGGCCTGCGCTTGCTGCTCCCCTAGCCTGCCCCCAACAGTCTCCCTGTGTCATTCAGACTGACCTCCAACTCTCAGTGATCCTCCTGTCTCAGCCTCCCAAGTGCTGGGATTGCAGGTGTACACCACCACAACTGGCTTTTTGTATAATTTTAATCTGTGGAAGGGGGCTTAAATTCTCCCTGCGAGAACGTAGAGCCAAGGGCTTTCAATAAAATAGATAATACCTGCTTCTCAGATCTGTTGTAATGTATGTAATGAGTAATATGCATAATAGATATATTTTCTTTTTACTAAATCAAAGAATACTGGTTATAGCTGCTCTGAACTAAGAAAAGTTTAAATATTTTGGTTTTGAAGGGAAGATAATATTTCAGAAGGGTGGTAGATTGGGCCATGTCATGTGTCCAAAATTTTTCTATAGTTTATATAAAGATAAAGAGAATAATGCTGGGTGTGGTGGTGCACACCTGTAATTCCAACACTTGGGAGGCTGAGGCAAGAGGACCACCACACGTTCAAGGCCAGCCTGAGCTACATGGCAAGACCCTGTCTCAAAAAAAAAAAAAGATGTCTCAAAGATTCTTTGTCAGGGCCAGGGATTTAGCTCAACGGTTTGGTAGCCTGCCTTGCAAGCGCAAGGACCCGAGTTCAATCCCTGGTACCAAAAAAAAAAAAAGATTCTTTGTCTTCTTTGTCTTTCAGCCTCAACCATGGAAAATACTTGTGTTTCTCATCTGTATGAAGGCATCCATCCTTCACAGTAGTTCTTTGTTCACAGTCTCTTGGGCGTTAATGGAGTATACTTTAGAAGATAGTTTCTTTTGTTCCAGTCATATATTTAAGTGAACTAGTTATAATTGATGGAATCAGATGTTTTCAAAGGTTTATAATTGTACTAATGATAAGCTTTTTGGTACTGGGGATTGAACTCAGGACCTTGTGCTTAGTGAAGCAGGTGGTGGAACCACTGAGCTAAATTCCCAGCCCAATGATATGGTTTTTTGTTTGTGTGTGTGTTTTTGTTTTGTTTTGTTTTTTGGTACCTGTTTTGTTTTGTTTTTTGGTACCGGGGATTGAACTCAGGTCCTTGCGCTTGCAAGGCAGGCCACCGAACTGCTGAGCTAAATCTCCGGCCCCCAATGATATGCTTTTAACAAGCAAATTTATAGAAGTAAAGCAACATTTAACTAGTGAAAACTGTTCCCTGAACTCAGAATTCAAATGTGGTCACAATTTGTTGGTTATTTTAAAAGTTAGTCTCACACATTCTTTTTAACAGAAAGTATAGGGCCGAGGGTTTAGCTCAGTGGTTCCATGCCTTGCCTGCCTTGCAAGCACAAGAACCCAAGTTTGATCCCTGGTACAAAAAACAAAACAAAGCAGAAAGTATAGCATCTCCCTTGTCTCTGTGCCCCTACCCACAAAAGTAGCAAAACTCCTGAATAAGAATTTATGGGGCCCAAAATTTGAAAAAAGTGTAATTTCTCCAGGATAGTTTTGTTGAAAGATAATAATTAGTTCTTCCTATTATTTTGCATTCGGAGTTCATAGAACTAAGGCATTGCTGTGGAAATCATAAAATGGAAGCTGTGACTTAGTGTGTCTTCGTAACAGGTTTTGCTGTGAATCTATACACAGTGGTGCCTTGTTCAAATAGGGACTGCCGTGACTTGGATGAACTGTTTCTAAGCATGGAATGGCGCCTGCAGCATTGGCTCACACCTGATGCCCAAGCTGCAGTTTAGTTTTTGGTTTGTTTTTTTTTTTGGTGCCGGGGATCGAACTTGTCGGGTCCTTGCGCTTGTCAGGCAGGCAGCAGAACCACTGAGCCAAATCCCCAGACCCCAAATTGCAGTTTAGTGTACTGCCTAGTGTAGGTATACTATCTCATTTTCTTTGCAAGTAAGAATGATTTTTTTCGGGCTGAGGATTTAGTTCAGTGATTCCGCCATCTTCCTTGCAGCACAAGGACCTGAGTTTGATCCCGGTACCCCCCAGAAAAAGGAATGATTTTTTTTTTTCTCCTAGCCTGAAAGCAGGCTTCTTGCTGCTGCTTCCAGTGTTATTTTTGTATCTTCTATTTGTATACAGTGCAGGTAAAAGCTATTCAAAAGTGAAGAGGAGAAAGGATGGTTATTTCAGAGCAAGTTTTGGGTCATTCTGCTTCAAGTGAGATATGTGTTCAGTGATTACTTTTGTGTATTACAGGCCTTTCGGGAAGACCTGGAATGCCTTATTCAAGAACAGATGAAGAAAGGCCACAACCCGACTGGGTTACTAGCGTTACAGCAGATTGCAGATTACATCGTGACCAGTTCTTTCTCCGGCTTCTCTTCACCTCCACTCAGTATGTCAGTTTTGGAGAATTTTTAAAATTGCACTTTTCTCTCTACTTTAGAATACTTACATCTCTAGCTGCGTATTCAGCTCAGGTTCAGTTATTACATTTATAATATCCAACACCCAGGGTAGCATAGTGTTAGAATCTCTTCTTCATATGAATCAGGCACTTACTAGACTTCATAGGGGTTACAGAATAGTTTAAGATATGGTCCCTGCCCTGCATAAGTATATTTTAATTAAAACTGTAAGGTAACTACAGAGAAAGCATGACAGAGTTGTTCATAGGAAATTATCTAAAGAGCTTCAGAAGTCAACGTGCTCTGAGCTTAGAGCTGGAGAATACATTGGCTAGAATAGACTAAGAAAACTTGATGGAAGAAGATAGGTCTCAATGAAACGGTCTTTAAAACATAGAATAGTGGGCCGCGGGTTTAGCTTAGTGGTTCTGCCATCTGCCTCACAAGCACAAGGTCCCAAGTTCAGTTTCCGGTACTAAAAAATAAAAAGAATAGTTAGAACTGGGTATTAAAGGATTTTGACATTTTATTAATTCATCAGCTCTTTACGATAAAGCCAGTTTTGTGAACTGAACACTGTAAGGCCACCAAAAATCACGAGGTCTTAGCTTCTGCGCTGTGTGTTTCAGCTGTGAGATGCAGAGAACTCACCGCACAGCCTGAGGGGACTGGTGGGGGCTGCTCCCAGTCACGCTGAAGGATGTGGGTGTTTATTTTTGTCCTTTTTTCTCCTCTTACCCTGGCTGCCTCTTTTGTCCCTTTTCTCTTTTTTTTTCTTTTTTCTTTTTTTGGTGCAGGGCTTGCAAGGCAGGCAGTGGAACCACTGAACCAAATCCCTGGTCCATCTTCCTTACTTTCATTAGAAACACATAAGTAGGATTTCAGTTAGTTCATGGATTTTTAAATACAGGGAAAAGTGTAAAAAGAGAGCATCATGGAGATGGGAACATGTAAGTGAGGGCGAGTCTGCAGTACTCCGTGTGGGCTTTGCATAGCTATCAGAGAGTCCTGGTGTGGAAGGCCAGAGAGGAGTTGGGCCTGACTGATGAGGTCCTTTGCTGTCAGACCAAGGAAGACTGTCAGCACAGAAAGTGAAAAAACCTTCTGAGGAGCGATTAGATAGGTGATAACGTGAGTACCAGTAAAGGACAAGAGCACTTAAAGGATCTCTGAAAAAAATCCCAATGTGAGATATAAGTACCTGAATTAGATGAGTGTTGTGGGTATAAAGCATGGTGGTGAACGTGTAGGACATGTTTGCAGTGGACTGTATATCACTGAAAGCGCTAAAAGGTTTGCCATCACTGGTATTACAGGAAGAGAACAGTGAGAGACAGCATAGCCCAGGAAAAGTAGAGAGGACTTCCTAAGAAATTTGATGTACTGGGGGAGGGAAAGAATGATGGGTTCCCTTATGACTAAATTTTCTAGCTTCAGAGAAACATTCTGCCAGCAAAAACAAAAACTCAAATGTTGTGCTAGTTTGCTTCACTCTTTGCATAATATTGAGCATCTTTTAGGAACAGGGATTACACTGGTAAACAATACAGACAAGATTCCTTTTCTCAGGGAGATGGAAAATAGACTAAGATGATCAGATAACAGAGTGCTCTGCAGAGAATTGTAATTGGTGTTAGGAGAGAAAGCACCTGTGTGGCATGTTCAGTTGGGTAATCAAAGAAGACCTCTCTGAGGATATGACATTTAAACTGCAGTCTAAATAGGAAGAAGGAGTGAACCATATGAAAATGGAAAGAAAGTATCCCAGGTTGAGGAAAGTAGTACAGATGACAAAAAGGAATGACTTTGGTCTTGTGGGGAGTCAGAAATAATAATGGTCTGGAGCATGGTTTTCAAGAGACAAGTAAAGTCAGATCAAAAACAAACTCCATCACATGAAAATGTGATTTTGATGTAAATCGAGTCACAGCCAGGTTTGAAAGTTTAAATTTACTCCTAACTTGTGTGGGAAGCCATTTTAAACAGTAGGATAATTTTTTAAAGTCACTATTTTCTGTGTAAGAAATGGAGTGGGAGATTTTGTGGTTTGAACAAAAATAGGAAAGTGCAGAGTTAGGGATCTACTTTAGCTTGGAAGATGGAGGAGTCCAGCTTTCGGTGTGCTGTTTGCGTGGCCAGGATGCACAGCAGTCAGAACACAGCCTGAGACCTCGGAACAGGCTGGACAGCAGACATGAGGAAGAGTGCACACTGCTTAGGCATGGATTGGATGCTCATGCAGGAGATACAGATGTAGAAGGCCAGCGTCCGAAACAAGAATTTCCGAGGTTCTCAGAGGAAGACTAAGCGGGGAGAACAGAACAATAAGAAGGCTGTCCCATACACGTTTTAGATTTCGTGTCAGGAACACAGAGCTGCAGGGGTCTGGCTGGACTGCTGGAATGTGCAGAGGGTGGTGGCAGGATAGCCTTGGCCTCCTTTTCAGACGTCAGGAAGTGGAAACCGAACAGTCAGCCTGGCACATTTATGTGATGGTATGAAAAACAAGTTAATTTGAAAGGATAAGGGAAGGTGTGAGAGTAATGTCAGAAATTATAAATTGGGGGGGTACCGGGGATTGAACTCAGGTCCTTGTGCTTGTGAGGCGGGCAGTGGAACCACTGAGCTAAATCCCTGGCCCGAAATTATACTATTTTTATGCTTAAAACTTCTTTGAATTCATTTGCACCATTTCACAATTAGATCTCACATTTGGAGCTTCTCTTTAAAAGTCCTGACTGGGCTTGTGTTCTTAGATTAAGAGTAATACATTAGAAATCTCAGATGTTTTTCTTGAGAATAAAGGGACCAGAATGAGAGGGGTTATTGTGGGGTCCACCCAGGAGTTCAGGCCCAGACCCAAGGATGGAAATTGAGGGACCTTGTGAAGAGAATGATGGAATGTGCTGCCACATCATCTGTGGTGCCCAGGCAAGGTTAAGAATTAAAGGTTATTAGGGTTTCTTTCAGCCTGCAGGATTCGTAAGGTCATCAGTACCAGAAAAATTGAGAGAAGCAGCAAAATAAGAAAAAACAGAAGTTAAAATCACCTTCGGAACCTTTGAATTTGTGTGCTTTTGTGTTGCAGACTGTTACAAAGTCTGAAGGGCAAGGAGCAAGTCATCATCAGCGATAAAGATCAAGGTGTCGTTACACAGAAATAAACGAGGAGGCTTAAGAGTAAATAAAGTTTTCGTAGAAAAAAGTAAAATGAGAAAGGAGCATAGTAGAAGGCTGAGCTTTGATAAAGAGCTACCGTTGGAGGAAGGAAGAGGAAGAAAACTTACAGAAAGAGAAAAGAAACAGTATCAGGGTAGTATCACATAGGCCTGGGGAAGAATTCTAGAAAAGAGGCAGTGGTAAAAGGTGCCAGGCTGTGAAGAAGTCAAGGAGAATGAAGACTGAACACAAGCTGAACTTTGAAATTGGCAACAGTTGAGCTTGGCAGTTGGTTTGTTAGAGACCTTCAAAGGAGCACAAGCTAGATTGTTATTTGTATGCATTTTTAAAATTTTAATATTTTACGTTTGAATAAAAATCAAAAGAAATATTAGAAGCATCTTTCTTTTGAGGTATTTTCATCGTAACATCAGCAGTAGCCTCAATATTTAGTAACACTTTTCGCTTTTGGAATCATGGAACCATTTTTCCCAGTGATTTGACATAGTTATTCCCCAATAAGTTATTAGAAGTAACTTTTACCAGGCAGTCACAGAGATGGCTGATACTTACTTTCACACTCGGTATACTTTTCTGAAAGAGGATAGGCTAATAAAACACTATGAGCTGATTATTTACAAGTTACTGGCTACTTCCTGACATCCAATTTCCAGGTAAGATATTATTTGACTTAAACTCTCTCTACAATTTTTTCCTGTCTTAGGTCTTGGCATGGTCACACCTATTAATGACCTTCCGGGTACAGATACATCCTCGTATGTAAAAGGAGAAAAACTTACTCGTTGTAAGCTTGCCAGCCTGTACAGACTCGCAGATTTATTTGGATGGGTTCACCTGGCAAATACATACATCTCAGTGAGTTCTTTAACTTTTGATTTTTTTTCTTTTTAATTCAGTCGGGGAACTAAAGAATGTCCAAGGAAAGGAAAGGTTTTGGTGGGTTACACTGTATATGTTTGTCATTCTTATCACATTCCATTTTAATATTTTTTTATTCCAAAGAGTATCTTGGAACAACCATGTTCTCACTTCTATTTGGAAGTCCAGTTTTTAGACTTTTTTTCTAGTGTGCTGGGTTACAACCTAATGCTGATTTAAATATTATCTCCAAGAGAGAGGCTACAATTAAGACAACTTTATTCTCTCTGCTATACTTGTTGTTCCTTCGACACAGACCAGCTATAAAACCTATCCAAGAAGAAAGTACTATGGCAAAATTATCCCTCTCCCTGTTCATTATATCTGATATCAGTGAGATTGAAAAACTTTTGGGCTAAGAATAATTAAAGGGTCAGGAAAGTTTCTCCATGGTTTTTATATTTAAACGTATTTTTCTTGGGGTTTTTTTTTCCACACTTAGAAGCAAGATACTCTTTGGAATGAAAAAATACTAAAATGGAATATGATGAGAATGACAAACATATACATTGCAACCCACCAAAATCTTTCTTTTCCCTGGACATCCTTTAGTTCCCCAAGTTCCATTTCTACTTTATGCCTTTCTAGGAAGAGACTTTGTATCTTTCCTGCCTGTTTTCCCTTAATTTTCATATTGCAAATTAAGATTATAATCATTTCTACATTGGGTTGAATAACATTGCATTTATTTTTCCTTTATCTGATCCTGAGCAACAGTGAAATCCCAAAATAACTTTAGAGAAGCCCACTAAATAGGAAAAAAATTTTTTTTAAATTTTAAAAAAGCTACACTTAAAAAAAATAAGGGCCGGGGATTTAGCTCAGTGGTTCGCTGGCCTGCCTTGCAAGCACAAGGACCGGAGTTCAATCCCCAATACCAAAAAAAAAGCTACACTTAACTCATTTTTTAGCAAATTTTGAAAATGGAGGGAATCTTATGAAAAGTTTCATATTGCAGACTTAGAATTTTTGCTTTATTGTTTTATCCCATAGATCATTGAAAATTATGGCTCCTAACATTTACACTGAAAAGTACAAATTCCTTGAAGTCAGCCTCTATTGTTTTCTCTTTCTTCCAGGTAAGAATAAGTAAGGAACAAGACCACATTATCATAATTCCCAGAGGCCTGTCTTTTTCTGAAGCCACAGCTTCCAATTTGGTATGCTTTTCATTCCTGTGTTACTTTTTCTGATCTCCCTTGTGCTTTCCTGACAGTTTTTAGTTTTTAGCACAGAATGGAAGAAGAAGAAGGTATGGATGGAAAAACACTAGTGAACAATGAAGGCTCTGGAAGATTATGTTGATTTTTAAGAAAAGCTTTAGAGTTCCAGTAAAACAGTAGTTGAGGGACAAATGAGTTGGAAAAAATATCAGTTAACCTTTTTATGTTTTGAACTGAATCTTTTTTATTTTTTCCATCCCATACACTCCAGAATCCTTTTTAAATCAAACAGGGTATATATTTTGGCTAAATTTATCTTTTTTATTTTTTCCATCCCATACACTCCAGAATCCTTTTTAAATCAAACAGGGTATATATTTTGTAGCTAAATTTAAACAGTGTAGGTATAGAATCTTAACTAGCATTTTCTCTCTTCCATGATTGTCTTCCTACTCACTGACATCAACTCATACAGCAGCAGAAGCTACACTGGGTGCTACAATGTTAGTAAAATTTTCCAACTGTTTCAAAAGATGGTAAATTTGTCTAAATCCCTAGTGATGAGCTGAAGTTACTCATTTTCTAGCAAACTGTGTTTCTTGCTAAATACTAAGATTTTGTTTTGTATACTTTGTGCTTTCCAAAGTTGTATGGGGAAAAAAGCTATACCAATTTTTTTCCTGGTACTGGAGATTGAACCCAGGGCCTTTGCACTGAGCTACAGTACCCAGCCCTTTTTATTTTTTATTTTGAGACAAGACCTCACTAAGTTGCCCAGGCTGGGCTTAAACTTGTGATGTTCCTGCCTCGGGCTCCCAGAGTGCTGACATAGGCCACCACCACACCAGGCCCCATTCCTCTACGGATTGTTTTTGGCCGCTTTGGTACTGCCATGACAACACAAAAATTCTTGCAACAGAATCTCAGAAAGTAAAAAAATATTTATTACATGACCTTTTCCACAACAGTTTACCACTCCCTGCTTAGCTTGGGAACACAGACAAATTTTGACACATTTATACCAATTGAATATGTCTTTCTGATTTTCCAGGTGAAAGTCAATATAATAGGAGAAGTGGTTGACCAGGGAAGTACTAATTTGAAAATTGACCATACAGGATTCAGTCCCCATGCTGCAATCTATTCAACACGTCCTGATGTTAAGTGTGTGATACACATCCACACCCTTGCTACAGCAGCTGTAAGTCAGTGAGAAGCCAAAGCCAATAATAAGTCTGGAAAATGTATTATGTTCATGTTCTTCCCAACATGCTACTTTACTGCCTTCATTCCTTCGTACCCTGCCATCAAAATCATATTTTAAATATTAATCCTCTGCATAACCAGAGAGCAAAAGGCTCAGGCCAAATGCTACCACCGTAGGAAATGCCTGGAGAGATAGCATTTAGATTCTAAAACTAATCAGTTTATAACTGGGTCACTGAATTTTTAGAAAAAAACTTCTGTCATAGTATTTGACACAGCATGTGAATTGAGCTGTATTCCCTAAGCCCCCTTTCTTTCCTGGAAGAAGTGAAGAACTAAAGTGGGAGTGGGCTGCAGTAGAGGACACCATGCTTCCTGCGCTGCCTGAAGAGTCAGTTCCTGTGAAAATGTGTGCAGTAAGCTAATGTGCTGTGTTGGTGTGGACCCAATAAATAGGTGTCCTCCATGAAGTACGGGATCCTTCCAATTTCTCAAGAGTCCCTTATCCTGGGAGACATCGCCTATTATGACTACCAAGGATCACTTGATGAACAGGAGGAGAGAATTCAACTGCAGAAAGTTCTGGGGCCAAGTTGTAAGGTGTGTAGTAAGAGTCTCTGTCAAAGGAGCTATTTTTGTCACTGCTGCTGTTGATGAAAGCAGTGTGAGCTATGCCAGTTATTTAAAGTGATTGCTCTGGGGATTCTATTTTAGGTGCTGGTACTCAGGAATCATGGAGTGATAGCACTTGGAGAAACAGTTGAAGAGGCTTTTCATTATATTTTTAATGTGCAGATAGCCTGTGAGATTCAGGTAGGAAAAAATACCCCTTTTATTGCTTTGCTGTTAGTCTGTTAAGTTGGTATTTGTGTTTATGTATTTCTAAAACCTATTGGTCAGTGGCTTTTTGTTTTGCCTTTTAAGAGTTCTACTGAAATAAAAAGTTGTTTCTTGCATTGAAAATTGGAGGAAAGTACATTAAAATTCAGGCACATAATTCTAAATGCCTTGATAAACGTCATTTTTTTTCCCACAATCCTCCTTCCTCTGTTCTCACCCTCTCGTTTGGTAGTAATTGAGAAACAGAGGCAGCCAGAGATCATCAAGAATCAAATGCATTGTGGCCACTTTAGTAAAAAACAGAGACTAGGACCAGAAGTTTTATGAACTCATGCAATTCGTAACAATTCCACGGCCCCTTTAATAGACCTGATATTTATTAACCACTTCTTTTTCTCAGAGAAGCTGATTGTATATAAAGACTCTAATTTCCATCTTAAAGAAAAACAACCAGATTCCCTTAAAGCAAACGGTAATAATCAGTTGGAAGTATCACAAAGGTGAAAAAAATGTTTTTACCTAATGTACCTTGTCTTAACCAACTTCTTTTTTGCTTTAATGGTCCCTCTTCTCAAATGGGGCTATAAAAGGCTTAAGACAATGAGCTGACAACTTCTGTCTAAATATTCTTAAATTCAAAGTATAGTGTCCCTATATTCCTTTTAAAATTATACCTTTCAGCAAAAAATATTAACTGGATAGTCATGGGAAAGCATCAAGAGAAGAACTTAAAAATTTGGCAAGAGAACGAAGTTGTTTGAAATATTTTTAAAAGATGTGGGTCTAAATGTGTTTTCCAGCAAAAGGACCAGAGTCCTGGAGTCTTTTTCAGTGAGGTGAACAAGATATTTCAGCTGCCTACTTGCCCAAGAGTGTTGCTTTGTCATTGTTAGTAGCCCAGATATGTATTGTGGATATTTTCCACATTGAAATTGTGTTTTTGAAAGAAATATAGTCACAATCTTGCCGGTTTTATGTGTCTGTTTTCCTGTTGGTTGCAGGTGCGGGCATTAGCAAGCTCAGGTGGAGTAGACAATCTTCTCGTTCTGGACCTCCAGAAGTATAAAGCTTTCACTCACACTACAGCAGCAGCTGGAGGAGGAGGGGTGAACATGGGTTCTCAGCAGAAATGGAAGGTTGGAGAAGTTGAATTTGAAGGGCTGATGAGGACTCTGGATAATTTGGTAGGTAAAATGAACATCTACTTGGGTTTCATGCCTTCAGATTCAAGAGCAGATACTTTATATCTTCCTTTGGTTTTAAAATATATTTCTTCTCTGAGATGAGAGTTTGTGTGTAATTTAACCACATATTTATATCAAACTTGAGATATGCAAGTATCTTTTTTTCCTCAAGAATATAGTACATGGTCGTTAGTTATAGCCACTGTATTATACAGCATATCTCTTGCACTGAACTCTCCCATCTAACTGAAATTTTGTATCCTTAGGCTAATTGCTCCCCTCCCCTAGTCCCTAGTAACCACTATTCCATTCTGCTTTATGACTTCACCTTTTTTAGATCCCACATGTAAGTGAGATCATGCAGTATTTGTCTTTCAGTGCCTGGCTTATTTCACTGAATGAAATGTCCTCCAGGCTCACCTATGCTGTCATACATGTTGACTGAAATTCCTTTTTAATGTTGTGTAATATATCATTATATATTTGTGCCACATTTTCTTTATCAGGTTGATAGACACTTACTAGGTTGACTCTTTATCTTAGCTATTATGACTAATGGGAGTGTGGGCTTCTCTTGCCTTTGGGTATATATCCAGTAATGGGCTGACTGGCCCATATACTTCCATGCTGTTTCCATAAGACTGTACTAATTTTACGTACCCAACAGTAGTGCACAAAGTTTTCTTTGCCCTCATCCTCCCCAACATTTGTAGCTTGTCTCCTTGATAATAGACATTCTAACAGATAGGCTTTAAGTTTGCATTTCCCTGATGGGTAGTGATATTGAATACTTTTTCACGTACCCGTTGGGCATTTGAGTGTTTTGAGAATTGTTTACTCAGGCGTCTTGCCCATTGTACCAGGGATCGAACTTGGATCCCTGAGCTTGCAAGGTGGGCAGTGGAACCACTGAGCCAAATCCCTGGCCCTTGCCATTCATTTTTAATTGTTACTGGAAAATATTTCTTTTCTTGTTATTTAGTTGTTTTAGTTCCTCATATATTTGGATATTAATGCCTTAGATGTACTGTTTGGCAAGTGTCTTGTCTCTCTCTCTCTCTTTCTTTCTGTACTAGAGATTGAACCCAGGGCCTTGACAGTGAGCTACATCACCAGCTTTTTTTATTTATTTTTTGAGGTAGCATCTCACTAAGTTGCCCAGGGAGGACTTGAACTTGGGATCCTCAAACCTTTACCTCCCCAGAGCTGGGATTACTGGCATGGTCCACTGTGCTCAGCTTTTGCTTTTCTCTTCTTTGCAGAGCTAGGGCCTCATGCCTGCTAGGTAAGCACTCTGCCACTGAGCTACATCATCCGTCAGCCTGGCAAATGTCACTTTGTCTTAGATTTTGCCCTCTTCCAAGAAGGGTCAGAAGGCAAACTGCCTTCAGAACCAGGGACAGAGATGTAAATGAGCACTGAGATTTGGCTTCCCAAAAACTACATTATAAGTAGGGAAATTTTTCTGGTCGGCAGTTTGGAAATTACCTTTATATTAATATCCAAATAGTTGTATGAGTGGAAATTGGAGTACCAGCTGGAATCAGTTTTAACCAAATCTTGAAATTTGCTTAATTTCAACTCTAGTGTGATGGAGAGATTATAGTAGGGTTTTTAAAGATGTTTTCCTCTTTATTTTTCAACAAGAGTCTTTTTGAATCTTTTGTTTGAAAGAATGAGCTCCATATGTTGTATTCGTACAGATTTGATTGCTTCAAATGCGGCTTTCCCTTCCTCAGGGGTATAGAACAGGCTATGCATACAGGCATCCTCTCATGCGAGAGAAGCCTCGGCACAAGAGTGATGTGGAAATCCCAGCCACTGTGACTGCTTTTTCCTTTGAAGATGATACAGTGCCACTCTCTCCTCTCAAGTACATGGCACAGAGACAGCAGCGTGAGAAGACGAGGTGGCTGAACTCCCCCAATACATACATGAAAGTGAACGTGCCCGAGGAGTCTCGCAATGGGGAAACCAGCCCCAGGACCAAAATCATGGTATGCGTCTCTTTTCAGTTTACCGTTACTGAGTATTTTGCCTGGTGACTCATTGATTGATCTATATCTGAATTACTGAGAAAGAAAAATATAATATTAAAAACTCTCATTTATCAAGTATTAGCTTTGTTTAAAGCACTACTCTAAGTGCCACACATGTGTAATCTCATTTAATTCTCCTAATATGAAACCGGTGCTATTTTCCTTCTTGCTTGATATATAAGAATACTTAGGCAGGGCGGGGGATTTAGCTCAGTGGTTCTGGCACCTGCCTTGCAAGCACAAGGACCAGAGTTCAATCCCTGGTACCAAAAAGAAAAAGAAAAAGAAAAGAAAAGAATACCTAGGCACCCAGGACTAACTAATAATTTTTAATGGTAAAGTCAGAATTTGAGTGCTGACAATCTGCCTCAAGCCTAGTCTGGCCTACTACATGATTTCTATGTAGTTGATAGGGTACTCGAAAATTAGAACTGTAAAAGTTATCAACACCAAAATGTGCCATAGTTACATGAATTATTCTATGTAAGTTACCATTGTGTGAGATCTTGTAGGTAGAAAATTGGGTTATTTTTTTTTTAGAATTTTGCTTCAGATTTGACCTGGTTTTGGAGTACTTATCATGAAATAAGTATTCTTTAGCTATTCAGAATTAATTTATCCCATCATTTAAACCAGTAACATTCAATATGGAAATGCTTAGGCATCAAAGTGTTTTTTCCCTAGTCTGTAAGACTTTTTGTCACTAATAAAAAGACAGTAACTAAACTCACAATTCTCTAAGAATTCATTTTGTTAGAGACTGGTGGCCAGTCATCATAAATCTTGCTAAACATCAACCTTAAGGGTCATCATGTGGGGTAAATGAGAATTATATAAGATCCTTCCTATAAGCCTATTGTGCTGCGTCCTACCAGAATACATCCCCGTTATCAAATGCTGATGAAGGTCTTAGCCTTTACTATTGGCCAAAAATAAAGTGAAGCCTGGAAAATTGTGTCTGAGGAGTCCTTTCCTATGACTTTGTGGCCTTCATCATCTGATGAAATTTAGTGTAGGAGACAGAACTCTGAATGAGAGTTAATATAAGTTCATGCTCTGTGTCTGTGCTTCAGCTGTTTGCAGTACTGTTATATTTTCAGTTGTCAAGAGAAGAAAGTTTAATTAGCAGTATATTTATGTGTGAATGATAGCAGCATTGTTAATTTTTTAAAAAGTGAAGTGGATACTTTTTGTGAGCCTTTTTCTAATGTGAGGAATAAATTAATTGAACTGGTGTTGAGGTATAAATTAATCATTAAGGTACTGCTTAGTGTAAAAGATGGATGACATATTTTTCCCTTAAAACTATAAAGAGTAATTGAACACCTGGTTAATATTTTCTTAACACAAAGCTTCATTCTAGACTATTTTTTTCTTTAGTGGATGAAAGCAGAAGATTCTTCCAAAGTTAGTAGTGGAACCCCCATCAAAATTGAAGATCCCAATCAGTTTGTTCCTTTAAACACAAACCCAAATGATGTTCTAGAAAAAAGAAACAAGGTAAGACATTGTCCTTTGTGGCCAGAGGAGACATTTTTATCCGCTTTTATGTTTAAATCATTAGTGATTAAACCTGATTGTCAGATTTAGGAGTGTGAATACAGAAGAATTAATTCAATACTTGCCACTTGTGTTGAGCATCTTTAGCCCTGTGTTAGTCATTAGTGAACAGGCTACATTAAGTAGTAGTAAACATTTCTGCCTTAAGGAAGCTTGCTATTAGAGGGAAATCAACAGTGTAAGATAATAGGAAATGACAGACCCAGAAGGGCAGAGATTAATGTGAGTTTTAGGATGGCGAGGGGGTCTTTACTGAAGCGAGCTAGGAAGAGACTCTTACTTGGAAGTGTCAAATAATAAGCTTGTAGGAACAGAGCAGGCAAAGGTCGTCTTCATAGTTGCTCCCAAGAATTTGTTACTTTTCATTTCAGATTCGAGAGCAAAACCGGTATGACTTGAAAACTGCAGGACCACAATCTCAGTTGCTTGCTGGAATTGTTGTGGATAAGCCTCCCTCTGTAAGTCTGAAGCAACATGATTATTGTTTTGAATCTGCTGCATAATTTTTTTGCTTTTTAAATATGAATAATTTTACTAAGATTAACATAAGTACAAGTTTAAAAGTCAAGTAGTTCACAAGACTTAAAATGCTATCCTTAATTCCTAATTTCCAGGGAAAAGGACTTTCTGTTCTTTTCACTGCTTCCAAAACTTTACCTTTCTGTTTTTAAACAGCAGCTTTATAATCACCTTCCCTTGGTTGGTCAGTTTTAGACCTCAGCTACATTTAATGAACCATCCAGTATCATTGCTTTGTGTATCACCAAAAGAAAACACTGCCAGTATTATATTGTAAAAGCAGCCATCAGTCATGATTCCCAATTTCAGAGATGGGAACATGGGGGGGAAAGTTCATCTTAAATTAAAAGCAGTGGGGACCTTGTGGAAGGTGAAGATTCAGCCCATTTACACAGTGCTTCCTTTTTGCTCCGTCCCCACTCTGATCAAGGAGTTTGTGTGTCACACATTTGTTTGTTCATTTTTGTTTTTCTTTTGCTAAATCATCTGTCAGTGTTCATACTGTTATGTTTACTACTAAGCCGGGTAGTATCCTGTGATTGTTTCCTTTTTTATATAATATTCCCTACCCTAATAATTGACTCCCTTTTTATTGGCCCAGTATTTTAAGTACATTGCCTTAATTCTTCCCAAACTTTTCAACAGAATCATAAAGTACCTCTTAATACTTTCCATAGGATCAGAGGTCACAACTAATCTCTGTATTCTCACCCCCATTGTTCTAATCCAGGTCTGGATCGGTGGTTCTCAAGGTCAGCTGCATGGGCTTATCTTGAGAATTCCTGTGCTTCTCATCTACATTATAACCTCTGTTCCCTCTCTGTAAATCTGCTTCTTTCTTGCTTTCCTCTTTTTACCAGAGAGAGCACAGCTCTCTGAGAAAGAATATATAGAAGTAACAGTCTGAAATGCTGTTATTCTACCTTCAAATGTGCATACAGTAGGTATAGAATTTTAGTTCGGAAATAATTTTACCCCAAATATGAAAAGTGTCACTCTATAGGCCAGGTGTGGTGGCGCACGCATGTAATCCCAGCACTCTGAAGGCTGAGGCAGGAGGATCACTGTGAGTTCGAGAACAGCCTGGGCTACATGGTGAATTCCAGTTCAGTCTCAACTACATAGTAAGACCCTGTCTCAAAAAAAACAAAACAACTAAGTGTCACTCTATTGTCACTACTCTTATTTTTGAGACATTGTGAATTCCAGTTCAGTCTCAACTACATAGTAAGACCCTGTCTCAAAAAAAACAAAACAACTAAAAGTGTCACTCTATTGTCACTACTCTTATTTTTGAGACATAAGAGGACATTGTAATTCCTGAACCTTTATGTAAATCACTGCCACCTCTGACCTTTCTACTTTCCTGCTGTTCTGAAATTTTTTGATTGTGTGGTTTGCAGTGGGTCCCTTTTTAGCCTTTGTTCTTAGCATTTAGTAACCCCTTCCACTCTGGATAGTTGTGTCCTTCATTGCTGGGAGTATTTTATTTTTCAAGTATTGCTTCAGTAATATTTTCCCCTCAGGCTGTTTTTGCTTTATCTTGTTAGATCAGACATTAGACCTCTTTGAGCCACTCTTTTTTCTCTCCAACTTTACACTTCTCTGCTTTTATCCTACTTCCTGGAAGATGTTCTGACTTTATTTTCTGATTCCTCTACTTAATTTTCTATTTTGATGTTAACTTTTTTAATTTTTAAAAATTCTTACTCTGAATGTTCTACTTTAAAAATCTTGATCTTTGTTTCATGAATACTTTTTTTCTTTCTGCTTTAAGGGAATCAGTTTTTTTAGATGCCTTTATTGTCTTTGTCTCTTCTGTGTTCCTTTTTCTGGTTCTGATCTTCCTCGCCCATGTTGGAAACATTCCTCAAGTGTCTGGTAATGTTTACAGTGTATTTATATTGAAGACTGAGATAGCAACAACCAATCAGAAACCCTGGGTGTGTAAAGAGTTGAAGGCTGGGTGAGCTTCACGCACTGTAGGGTGATAGGATGCAGAGTAGGTTGTTTCTCTGGGGAGTTTCCAGACATTGCTGTCTGTAGTTCTTTTCTCTGGGACCATTTAATTTACCCAGAGGAGCATTCTTCTGTCTTCCCCCATCATCCTGGGTGCCCTCAGCTGTATTGTGTCCCCTAGACAGATTTTCCTGAAGAATCAACCTCTGTCTTCTGCAGAACTGAGTGAGACATAAATGCTTGACATTGTAGGATAGGAAAGGAGACCTGGAAATCTGTCTTCTTGTTATTCAGACCTTTCCATTGTCCCATGTTCAGCTTTTCCTCAACCAGCGTCTCCTGCAGTACCTACGGCCTATACATTCCGAGGCCTCCCAGAGGCCAACGAGCCAGGGAGCAGCCGCTTTAACACCATTCTCTGCGGGATGGAGGCTGCAGCTCCGCAGCCCACCCTTCCTGCTTTCCATCTGCAAAACTGTGCTAACATTTCTCACCCTCTCTTTCTTCCCACATTTGTTTGTTCTTAAACGTTTATACCTTTTTTTGTCCTGTTCCTTTACTATGTTTTTAAGTGTGGGGTGTGAGGGTGGGTCAAAAACAAATGCATGAATTTAATCTACAAGGTATAACTAAAATTTCAGTAATTTCTGAGAGAAAATAACCACGTGTATTTTCCTAACAAATTGAAAGTCTTGTGCTTGTTTTATTTTTAAGGCTTTCTGATTTTTAAAAATATTTCTTATTTGAATCTGTTAGATTTTATCTTAGTTTTGTTTGAGAATGAATATTAAAGGCTGAGGTGTAATTCAGGGGCGGAGTACTTAACTTGCATGCGCAGAGCTCTGGGTTAGATCCCAGTATGCAAAAAAGAAATTAACAAATAATTAAAATGTACCTGTATATGCTTGTTGAGGAAATATCACTGGCAATTTTAGTCCACTGGCTTAGTAGTGCAAGAACATTACTCTCACAAGACTATTTTAAACAAAACATGTTACTTGGTTGTTTCTTATAGTTCTGGTGAAGCAGGAATCACAGATACTATTATATGTGCGTGCGTATATGTAAATAGGTGTAAGGAGAGCTTCTGACAGTGGGTCTGGGTTTTTCCCTCATTAGACAATGCAGTTTGAAGATGATGACCTGGGCCCGCCAGCTCCTCCTAACCCATTCAGTCATCTCACGGAAGGAGAACTTGAAGAATATAAAAAAGCAGTCGAACGGAAACAACAGGGCCTAGAAGGTTAGTTAAATTTCACAATTTAAGCCTAGGATAACACACTAATTAAACTATAGCACCTCCAGTTGGGTGATTAAAAGTAAAAAAAAAAAAAAACAATTTTTTTTCTTTTTTTTTGGTACTGGGGATTGAACTCGGGACCTTGCACTTAAGAGGCAGATGGTGGAACCACTAAGCTAAATCCCTGGCCCAAGTCAAAAATTTTTTTTAATGTAGCTTTTATAAGCCAGGTGTGGTAGCACATACCTGTAATTGCAGCACTCAAGAGGCTGAAGCAGGAGGATTGCCATGAGTTGGAGGTGAGCCTGGGCTATTATATAGTGAGTTCAAGACCAGTATGAACTACACAGTACGGCCTTGTCTCAAACCAAAAACAACAACAATAATAATACCTTTTGTATGCATTTGTTCTATTTCTCATCTATCTCAGTTCTTTGCTAAGTGTAGATGGGGCTGAAATGCAGAGAACTACACACACACAATTTTTTTTGTACCAGGGATTGAGCTCAGGACCTTGCACTTGCGAAGAAGGTGCAGTGCCACTGAGCTAAATGCCCAGCAGTAACCACTGTATATCTTAACATACACAGAAAGCAGTTCATCCTCAGCAATCTGAATGATAGCTGTTTTATAATAAAATTGGGCCAGGGCTGGGGATTTAGCTCAGCGGTTCGGTGGCCTGCCTTGCAAGCGCAAGGACCCGAGTTCAATCCCCGGTACAAAAAAAAAAAAAAAATCGGGCCAGGATTTAGCTCAGTGGCACACACCTGCCTCACAAGCACAAGTTCCTAAAGTACAAACAAAAAAGGAATGCTATATACGAAAATCTATGAAATGAAATCCACAGATGAGTAAATAATTAGCAAAGTACATGTTGATACAGGCTCAAACATCTCCTAGTATGTGATTTTTTTTTGTTTTTGTTTTTTTGTTTTTTGAGACAGGGTCTCACTGTGTAGTTCAGACTGCTCTGGAACTCACTGTGTAGCTCAGGCTGGTCTCAAACTCGCAGCAATCCTCCTGCCTCAGCCTCCTGAGTGCTGGGATTACAGGTGTGTGCCACCACGCCTGGCCCCTAGTATGTGATTTTTAAAAAGCTTTTTATTGTGAAATAATCACAGACTCAGAAATATGTAGATTTAATGCTTTGTAAAATCTGTTCATGAATGTCTCAAAGTACCACTATGGTCATTTTAAAATCGAAATTCGAACTGGTAGCAGTTTATGTGACTTTCCTTTAGCACATGCACACCTTAATACAACTGAGTTTAACTTTGAAACTCTTAGTAAGTAGTTGGGTTGTAATTAGAAGTTGTTAATGAAAACACCCTAGCTAATTGAGTACCACCTCCCTTTTTTTCTGGAACAGTGGTATACATGCCACAGCTGGCTGTTATCACTGAAAGCTCTAAAGGGTTCATCATTACTGCTCTAGAATAAGAGATTCCTTTTAGCAGCTGTTCTTGACCTTGGGTCTTTGGATAAGCTTCAGACAGTCCATGAGTCACCTACAAATACGATACACCTCGGCAATAGGACTTCCGGGTGGGTGAACCTAGGGGAAGGTGCAAGCATCTGCTTTAGCTCATCCACAACATGTAGTTAATTTTTTTATCAAGAGCAAAACAGAATCCAGTAGTTACAGAATTTCTGTTCATGGCACATATCCTGTGGGAAGATCTAATGACATCAGGATTGTCCAAGGAACATTTCTATCAGTGTGTTTGTGCCTTTGTCACAAAAATGAATCTTTCTAACTCATTGATGTACCCATATTAAATATGCTAAGTTGTATATTGAGCTTGTTTAATGTAAAGTTGAAAGCTTTCTGGTTTTTTTGTATTTTGTAAAATGTCCCTCTTTAATCTCTTTTGAAAGCCTAAAGATGCCAGGTAACAACTGTTGTACTCTACAACCATCATTTTTTTTTCTTTTTTTGGGGCGGGATCATACCAGGGATTGAACTCAAGACTTTGCTTGCTGGGCAGGCGCAGCACCACTAAGCTAAATCCTCAGCCCTCCATCTTTTTTATGTATAGCGTTGTGAATAATTTCTTCCACATTTCATTATGAGTTCCTAAATTAGCTCACTAATACTGCTCTGACAGGAATCACTAATTGGATGGTGTTCCAAAACTCAGATTCATTTTGCCTACTAATGTAACAGCATTGGTGAGGCGTCATAATTCTTTGCATCTGGCTCTTCAGTATATTTTGGTTCCCTAACACCAGCAAAAGCTAAATGCGTACCTGCTGTTTGCCTGGGCTGCCAGTAGCCACGCTTCCTTTGTAACCTTGTATGTAAAATAACTCTCAGAGCCAGAAGTTTTAGCATATTAATCTCCTCTTAGTACATAATTATTGATCTATGGGACAGTTGTTAGCATGCTTAGCTCCTAGCTGAAGAATTTATCTTCTCTATATATGCAGGCATTTGATGTATGCACTAACCTACCTGAAATCTTATGCTTATTTTGTTTTGCATGGCTTTTAATAAAATTCTATCCAACAGATGCTGAGCAGGAATTACTCTCAGATGACGCGTCATCTGTTTCACAAATTCAGTCTCAAACTCAGTCACCGCAAAATGTCCCTGAAAAATTAGAAGGTATTCAATGTAATTTCCCATAGCATTCACTGAGTAGTTGTGTCTGTCCCCTGTCATTTATTTTCAAGTAAGAAATTGTACAATTGGTCACAGTAAGTTTGCTATGGACTTTACTTGAGCCTCCCAAGAATTTTTATATTTCTTATCAAATGTACTGGTTTACTTTACTCTAGATTTTTGGCAATCCATAGTTTCTAAGAATTTGTGGAATTAAAATTGACTTGTTATACATCTTTAATCAGCAGCATGAAATCTTTTTCAGTTCTGATTGCCAAATGACCCAAAAACAAAGAAAAGTATGTGTCTTCCTCATTTATACTGATTTGATTTGCAATGAAATTATGTCATCAGATCAGAATAATCTAACTTATTACTAAGTTTGTTCTCATCTCCTTTATATCATTTAAGAAAATTAGCTTCATGCTAATAGTTTATGAAAATAATGATCTCTCTTCATCAGAATTAAAGTAATGCCTTTCAGGTTTACAATGTAAAATAGAAATGTTAACTTGTAAAATAAACAGAAAATCCCTCCCCTTTTATAGAAAACCATGAGATATTTTCCAAGAGCTTCATCTCCATGGAAGTGCCTGTCACGGTAGTAAATGGAAAGGATGATATGCATGGTGTGGAAGATGAGCTCGCTAATCGAGTGAGCAGATTAACTACAAGTACAACCATAGAAAACATCGAGATTACCATCAAGTCTCCAGAGAAAATCGAAGAAGTCCTGTCACCTGATGGCTCACCTTCAAAATCGCCATCTAAGAAAAAGAAGAAATTTCGCACTCCTTCTTTTCTGAAAAAGAACAAGAAAAAAGAGAAAGTTGAAGCCTAACTAAAGTCTTTTTATAATTACTACAAGGTGACATTGCACATTTAAATACCACATTTAAGTTGATCATTAATATACAGTGGTAGATTAGATTGGGGGGTATGTAGCAAACTGGACTCTAGAACTGGAAAAGGTTTTACTAAAAGAAAAATACTATGAAAAAAAACTTTGAAAGTCATCTTTTTATATGTCCAAAAATGGCTTTGAATTTTTAAACAGTTGCTAGTAATTAGCTCTGCTCTCACGAAGTAGTATAGTTCACCACAAACATATCTGTCTGAATTACTTCAGGACTTCTCCATATCTATTGGAAAGAAACTGCCAAGGAATAAGTGAGATTTATTTCTCCACACCATCAGTTAATAATCACATTGATTTTTAAATTATGATTATTGACTGTATCTTTTGGGTCCCTATTGTTTCAGTGGGTATTAATGGAATGCTTTAAAAGCTTCTAAGATAAAAATCTGTAGCACTAGTAGTATACACTGACACGTAATTTTTTTAAAAGTTTTAAGAAAAGGTTTGTTTGGAATTTTACTCAGTATAAAATTTTCTCACCTGAAGTAACTTCATTTGCCAAAAAAAAGTCATTTTAATAAACTATAATTTTTGAAAACTTCCTTTTTTATTAGTTTAGAAAGCCCCTTATTTTTCAACAAAGGGGATTTTGTACATATAACATGGGTTATTCAGTTTAACTCTGGCAAAAACAATTTTTATATGTTGAGATGTTTGTATACCATTCAGTATAAAAGTGTCATATGCATATTAGCCAGTCATGTAACAGTAGGGCACATTTGAGACTGCTTGTACTGAGTATACTTAAATAACTTCAAGAATCCAGGGACTTGGTATCAAAAGGGGGTTAGAGCACATTAAAGGTATATCTAGAGTTCATATTTAAACTTTATAATGTATTTTTCTCTTATCACTGCTAGTGAATGAAGAAAATCTCAAGGTAAATGAGAATGAAAAGGAAAGTGAAAAACTAAGGGAACAAAAGATGGGATGTAAAGAACAATTCTTGTTTGATAACTATTCATGATAGGATATATAGCATGACTCATTGAAAACATGTCCCAAATTTCTAAAATCCTGCTCCTCTGCCAAAAGTCAATATATTGGTCGATGTTTCAGTTTTAAAAGGGTTAGTCCTTCTAAGTTGTTTATCGTTAGAGGGGAGCACTAGAAGAAGTTATTAGTAGATCTAATCCCTAAGAAAACTACCACTTCTTGATTTTTACAATTTTTAAAAATCTTTTCAGTTAACTTTCTGATGTAAATACAAATTTAAACCCAGACCTAATATAGTTTTCCCCTTTTTCGCAAGTGATGTCACAAATCAATGTAAAATCAGAGATCCCAAATGCTAAATGGGTAAAAAGAATCCAGAGTATTCTGAAGGGCGAATCACCACGCCAGAAGTTCGGCGGGTTCTGGGCGGGCTGTGTGCGCATGCGTGCGTGCGTGCTGCAGCGCTGCCAAGGCGCGTGGAAAGTCACTCTCCATCTCACGTCTACTGCAATCAGTGTTTTCATCTTAGTGGAAACTTTCAACTGCTTCACTGTGTATCCGAGGACTAGTTTATGTTCTACATCATTTATGTTGTATTCCGATGTATGTAGAAACAGTAACCTGTGAACTATGCCTTTCCATAACTTTTAAAATATATATATATATATATATATCTAAATGAATGCAATGTTCATAAATATTTTTAAAGCAACCATAAACTATTGCACCTTTTGCTAATGCCTCTACTTGCTTTAACATAATGAATGAGCCAATGAACTCCTGTGTCCTGTGGAAATGTATAAATGTTATCTGATATTGCTCTTAGATGTTATGCTAATTAATGTTAAATCACAAATAAACAGTATTTTAAGTATATAGATTTGGTTTTATGAGGATTCCATTCCAGAGTGGTTATTTAGCCTATACTTTGTGATCTGTTGAATTTTATAGCTCAGTGAAACTGCGATGCTGCTGAATAAGGAACATTTTGATACATGTATTTTCAAATTAGAAATATATACATATAATGTATATATTATATACATACATTTTACTGTATAATGTACATAATATGATACATACTTATAAAATATATTGAGACTTGCTGAGTCACTAAATTGCCCACGCTGGATTCAGACCTCCTGCCAGAGTGCTAGTATTACAGGCAGGTGCCACTGCGCCCAGCTGTGAAACCTTTCGTCTTACACTGGAGGGGATATTCTTGAAGACATTATTTTGTCTTGATAGGAACATGTTTATAAGAAGCCTAAGGCCACTACATCCTATCTATCAAGGTAGAATAAAAAATGTAAAATACGTACTGAGTTTGTACATTATCCCCCCCGCTTTGTTTTTGGTACCAGGGATCAAACTTGGGCCCTTGCACTTCCAAGGTAGGCATTGGAACCACTGAGCTAAATCCCTGGCCCTCATTACCCCTTTATTTTTTATAAAAATAATGTAAAAGAAAGTAGTTCACAGTTCCTCCACATTAACATTCAAACTTTGTTCTTTTCCAGCTTTTGTGCAATTATATATGTATTTTCTATACATTTGTAATCACAGTATAAGTTAATTTCTGTTCTGGATTTTTTTTCTGCTTAACTACTCAAAAGATTTTTAAACTAAAACCTCACATGAATAATTTCTTATGACTTATTTTTCCACTTTGTCCTAAAAATAGAGTCCAAGGGGGGAAATCATGTTAATTGAGGGTTCTGGCTAATCAAAGTTTTTACTATACTTACTACAAAAATGAAGGGCTTGAGCAGAGAAAGAATAGATTCAGTCTTGGGCATACTTATTACCTTGGCTTGTAAATAACTGTAGTAAAAGTTGCTGTTTCAGAAACCTATTCATTTCAAAATGTCCTTCCATAATGCAACAAAAACCATTATCCTCAGTTCTCCCTTCAAAGTCAACTGGAAAGTAGTTGCCTGTTCAGCAAGAAACAGAACTAAATGGATAAAAGTGTTATAGCATTAGTTTCTCTTAACATTAGCTCCTTTTTTTTAACATAAGCAGAAAACACATAAAACCAAACTACTTGTTTTTTAAACTGAAAGATTATGTATCCATATACTCAAATTGCAATCTTAGGCAGACCGGGATCTCAAAAAGAACAATCTTGGCGGCCACTAGAGGGCGGAATACATCCAACAATCCAGTGTTTCCAGTCTAGCGCCCCTTAGTCTGTCAGCATCGTGTGTGTTGTGAAATAGCTGGAACTTAGGGAGACATCGCCGTTATTGCTGATTCTCTTCACTAGGCCGTTCTCAACTCTGCTATGGTAGCAAGTGCAGTTTCCAGCACACGTGTCACCTGTAGCGACTGCAATGCCTGTGGAAAGCACACTGACAGATTTTGAGCTGTGTGGCCTCAGAAATTGGTAGGCCTAAGACCTCTGAGGAATCATTTCCTGTAAGTGGCAATATAATGCCTCTGATAGTTGGCATTTTTTCGACTGAGGAGCTACTTGGCAACCTGATACCTTCTGTATAGCAAAGATCATGGAAAGTGCTTTTCACATGCTGACTCATTTGGCCTGCCCAACACAGCAGATGGAATCCTTGTTCTGTAGATGATGAAACTAAGTTGGAAAGGGCTAAAATAGGGCGTTTCACCTGTAGACACACTTCCAAAGTCATTAGTGCCATCTGTGGACTCTGACTCCTGTGCAGATTTTTGTGGGCTCTTTTAGGGGCAGCCATTCCCTCATTTTAGACTGAAAGCTCGTTTTATAATTCATGTTGATCTGAGTACATTGGGACTGTTGATTTGGAAGGCGACCCCCCACACACACCAAGTTGCCCCACAATGATGAAGGTGATGAAATGGGAATGAGCAGTGGTAATACGATCCTTTAGCGCGAGGAACCAGCCCTCAAATGTTGTCCATGACATCTAGAAAACAAGGTATCCATACCTTTGCCCAAGAGGTAATAGAAGCTGAGAGTGCAGTGGCATGAACCATAATCCAAGCTTATGGGTGGGAGGCTGAAGCAGGAGGGTTGCAGGTCAGATCGGCCTTGGCAACTTAGCAAGACACTCAAAAATAAGGTCTTGGACCTGGCATGTAAAGGCACAAGATCCCAGTAATGAATGTAACTGTACTGTCTACCTAGAATGTACCAATAAATTTAAAAAAAAAAAATAAGGTCTTGGGTGTAGCTCAGTGGTAGAGCATTCGCCTGCCATGTGCAAAGCCCTGGGTTCATTCCCAGCACCACCAAATTTAAAAAGGAAAAAACCTCGGAAAGAAGCTCTTTATCTTTCCCTTTCTAGTACTGGAGGCAGGGGAGATGTTCAAAAGCAAATGTTTTTCAAACTTGGAATGTTACCTTAATCATAGGGTAGTTTTACAGATCAAAAGTGATTGTAGCTACTCAGTTTTACTTACATGAATCTAATTAGATACAGTCTTCCTTGGAGAAAAACCTAATGTACATGCTGGAGTTCAGAACAAGAATGGTTTTTGAGGAACTTTTAATGGAAAAAAAAACCAATTTGCAAATTTAACATAGTACAGTGGAACTTCAGATTACCAACTCAGTTCGTTCCTGGGGGCTGGTTGTAACAAAGTCTCCTTTATAATTTTAAGCCACGCTTTCTTCCAGGCAGATCTCAGTGTCCTTAGACACTGGCCCAGGATTTCTCAACACCAAAGGAAAGGATGTTATGATGGTCCTTCCAGAACTCCCTAGGGATTAAATCTGTTGTCTGAGACCCTTTGGAAGAACAAGGGACCAGCATTCAGGTCATAACTCAAGACTCTGGTCGTAAGTTAAAACTAAAATTCCAAGAAAATAAAACTAAAATTTGGGCCAGGATTTATTTAGCTCATTGGTTTCCGCCACCTGCCTCTCAAGCACAGGGACCCGAGTTCAATCCCCATATCAAAACAAAAAAAAAACTAAAATTCCACTTGTAACCCAAGTTGGTGTATCAGGCCAGTCATAACTCAAAGGTTGGTAGCATTCAAAGGGGTTTCATTTTTAAAACATGACCATTAGGGGGCAATACTGAGTCCAGATTTAGTGTTGAGGGAAACTCCTTCAAGAGTTAGGATTTGTGCTGATTATCCATTTCTGGGTGCAGACTAAAGGGAAGTGTATAGATCGCACACGACTTCATTGGTTCCTCATACCGAGGTTACTTTGTTCCTACTTGTGAGGAGGCCTTTCTTCAGAGAGCTGTATCTGCCTGTAT